AAAAAAAAAGTTTGTTTGATGTTGCTCGGATCAGAAATTGAACCACCTTCCGAGCGGCAGTAGGCGCAAGAAAGTCAGAAAAAATGAAATAATATGTTAAAATGAGACCAAACGTGAATTTTTCACTGTTCTTTATTTGTTTTACTTTTGATCTAAAAAAAACCTTTGAACTTATTATGCTTTACACTTTTCTAAATATATATAAATACATAAAAGTTATCTTTACTGTTAATAGCTTTATTGTAATTTTTGGTCATGACTTCATACCAACATAAGCATTTTCACTGTATGAGAACTATGTAAAACAAAACCGGTTTATCTGCTTTGTAATTTGCAATTTTTCGAATAACTCCAAAACCGGGTTTGAAAAAATAATAGATAACTAATAGATACATGTGTATATTTTTTTTTTAAGTTATTTAAATTTTTCTACTTTTCGTAATTTTTTTTTTTCTAATTATTTATGTTTGAGTCTTCGCTTTCCATAAATTACATGCCATTTTCTACATCATCCTTCGCTGTTCTTGGCGCGTGGTTGGCCTTGGGCAAAAACAAACCCAAAATTCCTGCAACAATAAGCGCCACTGATGGGCTGAAAAGTGCCCATTCGCAATGTGTCTCGATGAGTGCGCCTAAAATGCTGGATCCAGTGACGCTGCCAATGCGACCGATCATGAGAGAAATACAAACAGCCATAGCTCTGGAAGAGAAAAATTTCACAGTTAATTCCTATTATCGTCAGCTGTCATAGTCCAATATGCACAATGCAAACTTTTTTCTAATCTTTGAGAAATTCTTGATTCTCAAGTGGATATACAACATTTTTCTCCAACATTTTCCCCATGTTTTGACTAAAAGTTGAATAAAGTCTGAATCCAAATTGATATCTAAGCTTTTCTCAAAAGTTGAATAAAGTCTGAATCCAAACTGCTATCTAAGCTTTCCTCAAGTGGAGAACTCAGATTATTTTGCATACAAAAAATGTGCCCTTTAGTTAGAGAATGGGTTGGTTATCCAATTGAGGTACACTTGAAAATCAACACTGGACCTTGCAATTTGTATTGGATCTCCACTTGATCTCATATTCAATATATATACATATATATTTCAAAAGTTATTAATTTTAATGTATCTATGAGCATACGTACATACCTCAAATTCGTTGGAAATATTTCCACAACAATCGCATTGACCACCGTAATGCATAGGCCACAGCAAAGCGTAACCACAAAGAGGTATATCGCCAGAAGAGGCACTTTGATAGAGAAAGCTACCACGCCACAAGCTCCACATATGAAGAGAATTGCAACTGCAATCAAAAACGTGAGAACAATCAAATATTTCGTCTACATACATACATATGTACAAGACAAAACTACTTACAAAGGACAGGCTTGCGGCCGAATTTGCTAATAGCGTACATAACAACCGATAGGAGGGATGCATAAATAAATTCTAGCACTAAAGTGTGTTTGTATGTAGAAATTTCCAAATGCATAACACAGCCTTCATCCTGTCGATGAGTTGTAGAAAAATACATACATAAATATAAGCCTTAAAAGTCTATAGATTACATTACTTACATTTTCATTTGTAACGGTAAAATTTGCTGATTGTGTGATTTTGATAATGTTACAAAGGCTTTCCGGTTCTGAAGATTTCTCTGTGTATTGCATTGTAAGATTAAGGATGTACGGGAACCACATATATATGCCATGGGCACTAAAGAATATGATGTACAATATGAGACTAGATAAGAATGTTTTCCGGATGTGTTCCCTCATAAATAGTGGTGCCGTTTGTTTCCACATGGATTTCATTATAGACACAAGTATATTTCCTTTTTCGATTCCTTGTTTTTTCGCTACCGGTGTATCGGCATCTGGTAGCAAGAAAATGTCCTGCAAATAATGAGGTAAAGAAAAATACTTATAATGAGATGATAAAGGACACAGATTCTTTTGACCGTTTTCGGTAGGTCTGCGGTAGTTATTTCGTTATCATCTCTCTTGCTAGAAAAAAACTTTATCAAACATACGAGTAGAATATGGTCCGCAGAACCCCCTTGCTTGTCCTACATTAGATACGACATCTAACTCACAATTTCTACTTGTGCGAGCATTTGTTCGATTTGTAATCAGGGTTAGCATAAGCCACTCCACGTTCCCAGACGTACGCTAATAGCTTCTGTCTACAGTTGAATGAGTTTTGTCGTAGCTTCCGCGGTGTACAGAAAAGCGGAACATGTACTGGGCTTTCTTGAGTGTCTGTCTGAACTAAGTAGGGCTAGCATCGATTTGTGACCTTCAGTAGAAAGACGAATTGCTTTTTCTTCTACAGAGAGAAATAATATAAAGAGCTTCTCTAATGTATCGCAAAGCACGCATGGTGGTTTAAATGTGCATCCTTCCAACGTTAGATGAGAGCAGCCACGATATCCTGCCAACCTTCCTACCTAAGCTACATTTTATGTTGTTTTTGCTGTTATAACAATAACACTTACCTGAAAAGCTGGTTCCATTTGCTTGTTCTTCCAATTT